GCTGCTCTGGAGTGCCGTCCTCATCATGTACCCCACCAGCCTGGCCGTCATCTCCATGACCTTCTCCAACTACGTATTGCAGCCCGTGTTCCCCAACTGCATCCCCCCGGCTGCGGCTTCCCGGGTGCTCTCCATGGCCTGCCTGAGTAAGTGCCCGCCGTGGGGCCAGGCTGGGTCTCTGCTCCCGGCCCTGTGTGGGAGGGCTGAGGAACAAACTTACTGCGAGCTCCGGTAACCGAGAGGTCGGCCTCAGGATGGAGTTTCTTGCAGTCTGGCTGCTGCTGCAGGGGATGCCGTCCTCCTGCTGCTCAGGCTGGACTCGGCTGTGGCCCGCCATGAGGGGTGTGGCCTCAGGCACCCACCCACCTGCCCCCTTGTCCTCCCCAGTGCTCCTGACGTGGGTGAACAGCTCCAGCGTGCGCTGGGCCACGCGCATACAGGACATCTTCACCGGCGGGAAGCTGCTGGCCCTGTCGCTCATCATTGGCATGGGCTTTGTCCAGATCTTCCAAGGTAGGGCCAGGGTGGGGCAGTGCCCAGGGCTGGGGAGGCAACACTGACCCTTGACCTCTGGGTCCCCAGGACACTTTGAGGAGCTGCGGCCCAGCAACGCCTTCGACTTCTGGATGACGCCCTCCGTGGGCCACCTGGCCCTGGCCTTCCTCCAGGGCTCCTTTGCCTTCAGCGGCTGGAACTTCCTCAACTATGTCACTGAGGAGCTGGTTGACCCTCGAAAGTGAGTGGGGCACAGGCTGGGCCCTGGGAAGGCAGCCCCCCCCCTGCACAGACCCACTGTCACCCGTGCTTTGGTCCCTTCATCCACCTGACCATGCCACTGCCCCACAGGAATGGCTCTAGAAAGACAGCCAGGATGCTTGTGTTGAAGACTGGCCTTGTCCTATACGGCTACGGGCAAGTCACAGCCCCTTGCTGGGCCTCAGAGACACTGACTTTCACTGTCCCGCTGTAAATGGAACCAGCTCTTTGCATTTGGCCCAAAATTACACATGTGCACACAACATGGTCCCTGCAAATGAAGCCAATGGCTCCATCTGATGCTTAGCCAGGGACCCCGACAGTAAGCAATTGCAGCTGGGGCTGAGGCTGATGAGATGTCCCAGGGGCACCCTAGATCTATGGACTGGGCTCCCAGGGCACTTTTGGGATTTTCAAGGCTTATTTTGGCTGTATGCAGTTTTTTCTTTATGTGCAGACATTAGACTCACCCCTCAGGGTACAATGTGACCCCTCCCCCATCTGCCTTTCCTCCTGCTAGCCTGTGCCCGGGGTGAGGTTGTGTGGGGAGACAGACAGCAGTGCTGCCCCTTTCCTTGCCCCAAGGCCCCCAGCAGATACAGGAGATGGAGACGCAAAGCTCCTGTTGCTGGGTCCCCTGCTCCCCTTCTCATGCCAAGACGCTGCCTTCCAGCCCCTGGAGGCCTGACACTGACGCACTCTACCACCGCCCCTAGGAACCTACCTCGCGCCATCTTCATCTCCATCCCGCTGGTGACTTTTGTGTACACCTTCACCAACGTCGCCTACTTCACTGCCATGTCCCCCCAGGAGCTGCTGGCCTCTAACGCGGTGGCCGTGGTGAGTGGGGCCCCACTGGGTCCCTGGTGCCCTGCCTGGCCTCCACCCTGCCTCACGCACTGCCTCTCTTTCTGTGCCCACTCAGACCTTCGGAGAGAAGTTGCTGGGCTACTTTTCTTGGGTCATGCCTGTCTCCGTGGCACTTTCCACTTTCGGAGGGATCAATGGCTACCTGTTCACCTCCTCCAGGTGACTGGACTGGGAAAGAGGGCGGTCCAGGTGAGGCAAGGCAGGTGCCCTGGCACGCAAACAGTGCAGAAGGCCAGAGGAAGAGAAATCCTGCCAGGTGGGGCCTGCCTGAAGCTGGGACAATGAACTCCCCAGCAACAGATGTCTGATCCCAGCTCTGAGGAACAGAAAGCAAAAGGGAGACAGGCTAGATGAGAGGGATGCTTCTCCAGTGGGGTTGTTGGGGCCTGGAGCGGGGGGTCAGAGGCAACCATTCAAGAGGGACATCAGGCCTAGAGCTGCGGTCTGGGATCTGGCAGGTGGGGCCGCCCAAGCCTGGGCTCACGGCCCCCACCCATCTCTGTCCCCAACATGCAGGTTGTGCTTCTCTGGAGCCCGAGAAGGGCACCTGCCCAGCCTGCTGGCCATGATCCACGTCAGACACTGCACCCCTATCCCTGCCCTCCTCGTCTGCGTAAGTTGGGGGACCCAGGCTGGCAGGGCGGGGAGCCTGAGCCACCCGGCAATGTAGGTAATGGCGGGGATGAACCCTGGCCCTAATGGGCAACCCACAGTGGGAGTGGGGAGGGCCAGGACTTGCCAACCGCCTGGCCTGAGCCGGCAGGCCCTGGACTGCAGCCTGCAGGGCTGACAGGAGGCAGGTGGAAGGCCAGCCCTCATCCCGGTCCTCTCCCAGTGCGGGGCCACGGCGGTCATCATGCTTGTGGGAGACACGTACACGCTCATCAACTACGTGTCCTTCATCAACTACCTCTGCTACGGCGTCACCATCCTGGGCCTGCTTGTGCTGCGCTGGAGGCGGCCGGCGCTCCACAGGCCCATCAAGGTGAGGTCTGGGGGAGGACGTGCCAGAAGCTGTCACAGTCTCACCCATTTGGGCACCAGGGGCAGGTGATGATGGCGATGGGGATCCCAGCTTTTGCCACGTGCTAAGCCCTGGCCTATTCGGTACTCCTCCTAACAACCCCATGGGTTGGTTGCTTTGAATGCTCCCAGTTTACAGACAGGAAGATGAGGTCGAGACACTTGCTCACGGTGGTGCCGGATTCCACGAGCCCACACAAAAGCAGAGTATCCTAATCCAAGCTAAAAGAAAAGTCCGCCCGTTTGCATATAAATCCTTGAGCTGGAGAAGTGTTCATTGCCTGAAATGGGACACGCCAAAAAATAATTGACCTTCAGCCAAATGCAAGCCGCAAGTCCAAATACAGTCTCTGTGGAGCTCAGAGCCACTGACACTTAGACAAAGTCTCAACGGTTTGGCCAACTGGCCATCCATGAATGGGGTTCTAGCACATTGGGCTGCTGCCAGACGGGGAGCCCTCAGGCCTCAGCTCCCAGGAAAGGGTGGAAAGCGCCAGGGCCCCCCCCCAGAGCGATTGAGCAGGAGAGCCAGAGGTCTTGCTCCCCATTGGTGCTCCTCTCCCTCTCCCCAGGTGAGCCTTCTCGTTCCTGCCGCGTACTTGGTCTTCTGGGCGTTCCTGCTGGTCTTCAGCTTCATCTCCGAGCCCATGGTGTGTGGGGTCGGTGTCATCATCATCCTCACCGGGGTGCCCATCTTCTTCCTGGGGGTTTTTTGGAGAAGCAAACCAAAGTGTGTGCACAGACTCACTGGTGAGCCGGGCAGCCGCCCCCAGGTGCCGGGGCTAACAATGGGACCGTCTTGGGGGCTCACCCTAGAGCAGGGTCTCCCAGCAGCAGCACAGGGCCCAATCACACCGCCAAATGTCTCCCCACGATGTGGCCCAAGTGTCTGGGACCCACCTCAGAGCGAGCAGCTGAGGGCCCCTGTCCCACGGAGTCAGACCCCAAAGTCCATCTGTCTGTCTGTCTGTCTCTCTTCAGAGTCAATGACACGCTGGGGCCAGGAGCTGTGTTTCGTGGTCTACCCCCAGGGTGCCCCTGAGGAGGAGGAAAATGGCCCCTGCCAGCCCTCCCCACTGCCCGCCACAGATAAGCCCTTGAAGACACAATGAGACATTTGTGGAGCCTGAAGCAGCTATTTCTGTTTACATGTTGTTTATTGAGGAGGTGTTTTACAAAAAAAAAAAAAAAAAAAAAAATTTGTTTCTTTTGTTCCTGGGGGGGAAAAAAAAAGAGATCCCACTCTTAGAGGCCTGTGATAAAGAAGCCCTCAGATGTGGACTGGGTTCCCTGCCAGCACTGCCCTGCTAGCTTTTCCTGAAAAGATCTATGAATAAAACAGGGCTGGTGGTGCGCTTGTCTCAGGTGAGTCCCAGGTGGGCATAACTCAGGGGCACGTGTGGAGCCGGTGGGCGGTGCCTAGCAGCCTCTGGAGGAGGCCTTTGTCCCTGGGGGCTCTGCCACTTGAGCCAAGTACGCCCCTCTCTGGGGCTGGCACATCTGATCCGGAGCCACCCCTGCCCCAAAGGGACATGGAGTATTGGGAAGCAGCTGGTGTGCCCCTCCCCAGGCTCAGCAATGCCCGCCCGAGGCTCAGCCCCCTGGGAGAGTCCAGGGAGTCCCTCCAGAACTGCCTTTCTTCCATGGAATGTCAGGACTTCAGAGCCCACAGCCTCACCCTAGTTTAGGTGAGGAAACTGAGGCCCTGAGGCAGGATGGGATGGACTTGGCCACTGTCAGTTTGTGCCTCTGTCTCTGGAGAAAGCATCCAGCAGCATCTCCCAGGGCCTCATGGCCTGCAAGAGACCCACAGCCTTCCTCTACCCTGTGCCTACATTCCCAGCGCTGCCCTAGTGCCCAGATTGACCCCCTCAGCTAGAGGGCAAAGGTCATCAGCCTGACCAACACCACAAGCATAAGGATGGGGGCTGAAGCCTCCTAGCCCTGCTCCTACAGAGCCTGGGAGGACAGAGGAGAGCTCAGTGTTGACAAAGTGCCCAGTATGGACTAGGTCTGACATGCCCACGGCCCTGTTCAGTCCAGCCACAGCTCTGGTGCCCCCCAGGGTAAATGAAGTGAGAAGCCACAGCCAACACCCCAGAGAGCCCTGCCCTGGCCCTCCTGCTCCTCTGGAAATGGGTTCCCAGAATGGAAAGGAGGAGGTAGAAGTGAGACCCCGTGTGCCTGTGTGGACACTGCAGCCCTACAGAGTGGCTTATCACTCCACCCTCCTCCCCTGCTGAAGCCCCCACAGCCCCGCCTGTCCTGCCCACCAGGGGTGCGGGATGCTGATGGGGCAAGCTGGCTGGGCTTCTGGGTGGGCCTCGCTGTAAGAAAGAAGGACACAGAGGCAGGGTAGAAATGACTGTGTATTCCCTGGTTACAAAGCGGGGCTGTGGCAGTCACCAGCGCGTCTGGTGGGTCAGCAGACCAGCAGGGCCTCGTCGTCACTGGCCTCCAACGTTGGGGAGCAGGGGAGTTGGGGACTCCTGCAGACACCCAGTGGCTCTGGCGGGTGGGGACCTAGGGTGTTGCTGGCAGTGGGGGTCATGGGGTGAGGGTCCTGGGCCGAGCAGGCTTCCTGAAGCATGTCCACAGGGGCTGGGCTGTCCACCAGAGGGTCCCTGCAGGCCTTTCTGTCCTTGTCCACAGGCCTGTACTCTGGGTCCCGCAGGCCCGAGGAGGGCGGCATGGAAGGTCCCACCTCTGGTGTGTGGCCAGGGGCACTGGGGGAGCCATCCCCAGCTGCCCCAGGGCTCCCTGTGTCTGTAAGGGGTGCCTGGGGGTCCGGGGCAGCCCCTGTTGCAGGCTGGAGGAGCCCATCACCTAGCACTGTCTGTGAAGTGCGTGCAGCAGTCAGCAGCGGGATCTGTCCACGCGGTGCCCGAGGCCGGTGAAAGAGCCGGTTCCAGAGGCGGCCGAGGCGGCGGCGGGAGGGCCCTCGGCGGGAGGCGTGCCGGCGCATCTGTCGCCGCATGGCCGTTCGAAGGTTCTGGAGCACTGAGGCCTGGAGGGTGGGGCGGCGGCTGAGGGGGCAGAGGTCAGCACGACCCCCAAGGGACCCAAGACCCCAAGAGACCAATTTGTCCCCCGCATCTGGCTGTGGCCCACCGTGTCACCCTGCCCGGGCCTCACCTCCCGCCTCCCTGGACCCCTGGACCAGGCTGGCCGCATGCTGTCCAACCTGCCCCTCAGGTTCCCTGTCTCGGGCGTTCTCTGAGGTCCAGTTGGGAGCCCAGGACCTGTGGGGTCTCAAGCCCTCGGGAGCTCACCTGGGATGCACTGTAGACGGGAAAGTCCTCCACAGGTGGAATGAGGCCCTGTGCAATGAGTTGCCCGTAGGACGGGGGCGCCTCCCGCCGCACAAACTCAGCCTCTAGGCGCGTCATCTGGGTCTCGAAGGCCCTGAAAACAATGAGCAAGAGGACAGCATGGCAGGCTGACCCCGCGCTGCCCACCTCCCACGGGCCCTGTGCAGGGACTCCCAGCAGGACATGGGGCCCCACCGCTCCTTGGGATCTTCATATGCACAAGAGAAGTCCTGTGCGGGCAGCCCAAGCCCCAGTTTACAAACCCGCAGCTGTAGGAAATGAGCCCAGGGCCTCTCTTCAGAGAAATGAAGAAACCGAGGCTACTAGCCTGGGACCCCAGGCACCGGACAGCAGAGAGCCACCGCCCACCCACCTGTACTCTTGTGTGCGCAATGAGTAGAGCTTGAAGGCACAGCCCAGGGCAATGACGAGCAGCAGGCCACAGACCAGGCTGCCGATGAGGGCAGCGGTGATGACCTTCCGGGGCACGGCGGCCAGGCAGCCGTGCTCGTCGCTGCCATCCTGGCAGTCCTCCTGGCCATCGCAGCGCCACGTCTCAAAGATGCACAGGTTGGTGCCACAGTGGAAGGTCCCAGGCTGGCAGGAGAAACAGTTCTTCTCGTCGGCACCATCAGGGCAGCTTTTCTGGTTGTTGCAGCGGTCAGCGGGTGTGTAGCACAGGCCGCTGCCACCCTCACAGGGGTACTGGTCAGGTGGGCAGGCAGGGCAGCCCTGCTCATCTCGGCCACTGGCACAGTGCCACCAGCCATCGCAGCGCTGTGGCTCCGAGAAGCAGCCCTGCTCACCCGTGTCACTCATGTCACCCTCGCTGCTGCTCCCACATGGCTGCTCCCACGGGAGGCAGTAGCCCTTCACCTGGTAGGTGGCGTTGAAACCGTGGCCGGCACTGCGGGCTCGGGCATGGTAGGCCACAGTGAGGCGGCCCTGGGCAGCCTCGAGGCTCACAGGCCGGTGGTTGCTGCGGTAGGACAGAGTCTGCAGCAGGCGGTCCCCACGCTCGCCCAGGCCCTCGTACACCTGCACGTAGTCGTCATAACCCAGCCGCAGCTCCAGCTGCAGCAGCACACGTCGCGGGTCCTGTGTGTCTACCAGCCATGTGCAGTGAAGGTCCGAGGGCCCTCGGGCTGCGCCAAACAGGTCTGGAGAGGCGAAGGAGCCGTAGAAGCTGCCCAGCCGCCGGCCACATGCCAGATCGGGGCAGCCGGCCTCATCCGAGCCATCGCCGCAGTCCTGCGTGCCGTCGCAGCGCCGCTCTGCAGGCAGGCAGCGTGTGGACCGTGCCCCGCTGCAGGGAAAAGTGCCCCCAGGGCACAGGCTCCCCGGTGGCTCAGAGGCAGGCGCCGAGCAGTTGCCCTCATCGGAGCCGTCGCCACACTCATCCACGGTATTGCACTGCCATGGGCCCGGCAGGCACTTGCCGTTGTCACAGCGGAACTCGTCGGACTGGCAGGATGCCTGTCCCAGCTTCCCTGTGGGATGAAGAGTTTGGAAACACAGTCAGGGGAGGGCAGAGCCTCACTCCAGCGCAGGGCCTGGGACCTGGACCAAGCAGGGTGGTTCTCCTATTCCAGCCGGGCCTCTGCAGGACCCAGGACCAAGGCAGGGGCCATGAAGAAGGGCCCATGGCCTCTCCACGGCCACCTGGGGACAGAGACCCCTGGAATGCCAGAGTGGGCTCAGTCCCTGACCTGAGCTGGGGGTAAAGAATGAGCCCCCATTCTAGCCAAGTCTGCGAAGTGGGGTCAGTGACCTTGAGGGGCTCCAAGACACCCTGAGGTAGCAATACGACCAGGGGGTCCCACCACTGTGCTCCGACTGATGGGGCTGCTGGTGGAGGGTGCTGCTCTGGCCCTGGGAGCCCCATGTGGTGCGCTGAGTGCTCTGTGGCGCCCGGAGCCCTGCTGCTGCCAGCGTCACCTCGGATGTATGAGAGACGGAAGCCCTGGGCCTGGCCGGAGCTGGAGGCATCAGAGTGGAAGAAGATCCAGACGTGGTCCCGGGCGGAGATGAAGGCGGGCGGAATGGCAGAGCCGCAGAGCCGGAAGGCCTCCTGGCGGGGAGGGGCCGCTGGGCCCAGCATGAGCCAGTCCAGGGAGCACTGGTGGGACTCCTCCACGTCAAAGTTGCGGAAGCTGCAGGGGTGGACAGGACTACAGACGTGGGTAGGCAGGCAGGGCCCACGTGGCTCAAGACCAGCAGGGAATGTCAGGCCTGAGCGTATGACAAGGATGGCCAGCCTCTCCCCCTCTCCCCACCCCCTACTCCTTTCCTCCACTCCCAGCCACCCGGGGGTCCGAGGGCGGTTCCATCAAGAATCAAGACAACTGTGGACCCATCCTTCACATCAGCCCCCTGCAACTCTGGGAAGGCCTTGCCTTTCCACCTTCTTGTCAGCACACACGCAGCACCCCCATCCCAAAGCCAAAGTGGAGGCACAGTCAGGAGCCTCACTGTGGGCAATTCCCTCCCCTGACACTCTCCCCTGAGGGGAGAAGCCCAAGGGTCCAGGTCCCCGCCCCCCACCCCCGGGTCGGCTGTGACAGGCCCTTCACAAACTAACAGGCCTGTGCACTGGGGGGACTGGGGGAGATTCGGGGGGCAGTGGGCATTTCCACGGGGCTGGCCTAGGCTGGGGCTGGGTGACAGCTTGTCACCTGGGGAGAAACACTGGCCCTGGACCTCCTGGCCCAGGCTGTGGGGTGAGCAGGCCATAGGGCCTGGAGTCTTGGAAGAGAAGGTACCTGAGAGCCATGGTCCTGTGGCCACGGGAAAATAGACACAGACACTAGGACAGACCCTGACCATGCCCTCACATCCCATGTTTTGGAGCTATGGTGTAACTGGGGAACTTTCTAGGCATTTAGGAGAATGACTCCCCAACCAAATATCTCCATGGCCACCCCAGGCCAGGGGTTCCAGCCTCAGTCCTACCATCTGGTTGCCTCACCCCATTTCCCTCTGCACGTCCCTGCAGCTCAAGCACCCGGGCTCCTGCCTGGTTCCATCTCCTGCAGAGACTGACCCAAGGCCCCCGGAAAACCCTGCTCTGGGATCCGTGCCAGCCTGGCCTCAAGCTACCCGTGCAGGACAGAGTGGACACCTCTGCCACCTCAGAGACAGCTGGACCATGCCCAGCAGGCCCCAGGGCTCCCCTACCTGGCAGGCCTGAGGTGACTGACAGCCCCAGAGAGAGGCTCAGCTCCATGAAGCCAGCCACAGAGACCCGAGCTGGGCACGCCCACATGCTCACACATGCTCATGTGCACACACAGCTTACATTTAGACTCTCAACCATGCACTTGCACATACACACCTGCTCACACACGTACCCTCCAAATTCGCTCAGATGTGCTCATACACACGCATGCGCTCACACACACTCACACATGTCCTTTACACTTGCTCAGACGTGGGCTCATGCACATACGCAAGCACATATATGTACTCAAGCATATACACACTTACACATCTCACACATGCCCTCCACACCAGCACACACACGCAATCATGCACAGGCACCATCACACGTGCACTCTCTCTCTCTCTCTCTCTCACACACACACACACACACACACACACACACACACATACACACTGGGCCCTGGGACCCCCATACCTGATGGTGATCATATCCCCACGGTCGCCCTGGATGTACCAGCTGCAGTTGGTGCCCGGCGGGTAGTTGAGGGGCCAGGCTGGGCTGTAAATGACACCACGCCGCTCGGTGTGCTGCTCCAGTTTCCCACTGCAGGCAGCTGTCAGGAGAGGAGGCTGAGAAGTGCTGGCCTCACCTTTGGGTAGGAAGCAGCGGGGGAGGGGGGGCACTTGAGCACCCCATGGCTTGGGCACTGGCCTTCCCAAGGTGGGATCAAGGCCAACCAAGGGTGGCCATGACCAAGGGCAAGGCCACAACTTGAGACTTCACGGAAGTGGTGTGTATGGCAGGGCCAAGGAGGACCCATATGGACTTAGGGCAGCCAAAGCCCCCAACCCCACCCTGTGCACCACCAGAGCCTAGGGCCCATCCTCCATCCTTGGCAGGGCTGGGAGCGAGTCCACCGACAACTCCCTTTGGCCCCTCCGAGGTGCAGCCTCTTGGCCTTGGGGCCTCAGTTCAGAGGAGAATTCTGCACCCTTAGACCTGTTGGCCCTGCAGAGGCAGTCCCTCTGTGGCTCCCTGCCGGCCCTCCCTGCGGCTTGACAAATACAGGATTTGCTCACCCAACACAAATGTACTGAGTATCTACCATGTGCCAAGCACAGTGCTCAGCAAACACCCTGCTCTGCGGAACTTGCAGGCTGAGGGGGGAGCAGGCTGACTTTAGGCAGATCCTCCCAGTGGAGCGGAGATAATAAAACAGGCCTGAAGGCCAGTGTCCTGATGGGACTGGAAACACAGGCTGGATCTGATCACCGTTGTGGGGAATTCGGATTTTATTCCCAACATTAGTGGGAAGCCACTGGAGGTAGATGTCATAATCAGGTGAGGAAACAAGCTCAGAGAGGGTAAGTGACCAGCCCATGGCCACACAGCCAGCAAGTGGCAGAGTCAGGACCTACCCTGGTCCTCTAGCGGACTCAGCTCTCACTGCCGACCCTGAACCAACGCATTTATAAAGTGTCAACTGTAAACTGTGTCAGGCACCAGTGCAGAGTGTCATGCTGGCCAGTGTGAGCGAGGAGCCAACATGCCCAGCCCCACAGGCTCACTGTACCCACTTCGTTATACATGCCCTTTGCTTCCCAGCTGAAGGTGCAAAGCCTGCCCTCATGTGCTCTGGCCTTCCCAGGGCCAGGCAAGGCCCCTGCACTTGGCTGCCCACCCCCTAGAACCCCTTCAACCCTTCACCACACTGCTTCACCTGATCCTCCCAACAGCCTGTGGCGAAGGCAGGGCCCATTATACAGACAGAAAACCTGAGGGTCAGGGAGATAAATGATGACCCTTTTCCTGCATCCAATAACATCACCTCCTCACTCTCCCACTGCCTGGCAACCTTCCACTGTTGCCCTGGAAACAGGGGTCTCTCTGCTGGCTCTCAACAGACTCTTCGGGACCCCAAATAGCACAGATGCACAGAAGAGAACAAAAGCCCTCCGGCCACCTCTCATGTTCTTAGGACAAGGACAAAATTCATCAAAGTGACCCCCACACCTCTTCTGACTCTTTCCCCCCCATAATCTACTTTGGCCCTCACACCTTCTGTGGTCCCTCCCAGGGGAGGGACACTTTGTCCCACCAGCCCCTGGAAGGATGCTCCCCCGCCCCTCTTAGCCGGTCCACTCCTACCGGCTTCAGATCTCAGCCCAGCAGCAACTTTCCCAGGGGCCCTCCCCATGCTGCCCCCACTGGGGCTCCGGTCCTCCACCCCCACGTCTCTTTCCCCCCCAGCCCCTGCCCCAGGAGCAAAGTCCCTTTGGATTGTGCTGGTTCTGGCTCTACACTGTGTCCCTAGGATCCCACCCAGAGCCTGACACACAGTAGGTGCTCAATAAGTACGGATCAACGAGTGGATTGGTCAGTGCACGTGCCTGCTTGGCATTCAGAGGCACGCTGTGTGGGCTGAAGCCCCTATCGCTGGGGCCTGCAGTGACTGTGGAGGTAGGGTGACACAACAGTGACTAACAGGGAGTCAAAAAAACCCACCCACAGCTCCCAAGAGATTCAAAGGACTAGAAGAGAATCACCCCTTGACCCTAAAGCAAGGCTGACCACCCTAGGTTCGCCATCAGAGCCTCAACAGTCCCAGGTCAGCGAGGTACCAGCCAGGCCTCTGCACTTGGCCTTGGCTCACCGTGGCCTGGAAGGCCAGCCTCCCTGAGCATCAGATTTCTCATCCATAAAACGCGAGCGATGCGTTCTGCTCAAAGGCCAGGAGGGGAAGGACTAAAAAGAAACAGAATGGTGACCAGGGGCCGTTCCCTCTGAGATGTGAGGCCTCACAGAGACCCTGGGTGCTGGCCTGGAGACGCCCTGGGAGGTGTGGGGTTATGCAAACTAGAAGAGTCTTCTCCGGAGGGTGCCGGGTGGGAAGTTCACAGGCAGGAAGGGACCAGGGCAGCTGGGGCACATCCTTCCCCCACGTGGAGTCGCTGACGCACATATTAAACCGAAGCACTGGGCCTCTGAGGCAGGAGGCTCCGTCAGTCAGGCTGAGAACCACACTGTTCCCCTGTATCCTCAGCCCCCAGGACAGGGGGTTTATTAATTCCTGCCCCCACCCCCGAGGCCTTCCCTGGAGATGGAGCCCTCACAGAGGCCAGGTTTCTCACCCACCCTGGCCGAGGAAGCCAGGCCCACACGTCTGCCACAAGTGAAAATGTCACCTACCTACCTCCTTTTTCTCTTCTTGGCCAGAATACTTCTCCCTCTGGGACTTAGGTCTGGTTACTCTTTTTGGGGTCAGGAGGCCTGTCTCTCAGATCACCAGCCACATCAGGAGCAGATGACTGGACAGCTGCCAGCCCAGCTCTGCCTCTCCACAAAGCCCCTGACAACACGTCCCCTAAACAGCCTCACTCCTGAGGGCCCCCCAGGGCTGCCCCAGAAATGCCCACCTCTAAGGCAGCAATGGCCCACGCGGAGTGAATATGGAACAGGAGGGAAGCCGGGGTCAGAGACCTCTGGTCAGGGTCTCTTGACCAGACGCCTCTTGGCTGTGGTTACCACCAGCTCAGACAACCAGCCCCGGGCCACTCTGTGACAGCAGGCCTCACCCCACCCGATACACTGCCCCGGAATCCAGGCACAGGCGGGAGAAAGGGACTCGGGAATGCAGTCCCGGGGCCTACACTGCGGCTGCCAAACACACCATTCCATCCTAGGCCTCAGCTATCCATCAGGAAAATGGAGTCAGCGGGTACTGCTTCGCCAAGGGTAGTTGGGAAATCTGAGTAAAGTGGCAGTCTCTAGCAGACATTCATGTGATGGAATGAGTGGGGGATAAGCCCCAAGGGACGTGAGGGTCGTGACTGGATGTGTGATAATGGGCTGGCAGTGAGGGAGCTGGGAGGACTGTGTGTTTCCGGAGATACAGAAGCAGGATAGAGGGCCTTGGGTGTTTTGGAGGGCAGTCAGAGAGGTCTGTGCGAGCTTTAACTGGAGGTGACCTGTGTTCACTCAGGCAGAAGATTCTCTTGGCCTTCAGGCCAAAAGTGGTCTGTTCAAGTGGGCAAGGGATGACGGAGCACTTTTAGGGCAGCGAGTGGCTTTCTTTCCTGGTCCAAAGAGTCATCAAATACTCCTGAGAGGACAAGAGCCTGATGAAGCACAATTTGCAGATCCAGTTTCTAGAGGTGATCAATATTCCAGACAACCTGCCTGGTATCACCAGATAACTGGGACCTGGGAGCCCCACCCCAGGCACTTGGGAAAGCTGCCAGGTGAGTGGATCACAGCCTGAGGACCCTGCCCAGGCAATCCCCAGGACACAGTGGACGTGTAAAGGAGCCCAGAGTCCAAGGCATAGGAGGTATTAGTCAGAGCCTGACAGCCTGGGGCAGGGTCCCCAGGGCAGCCCAGCCAGGCCCTCGAGAGTGTCTGAGCCCAGTGAGGACTGGGAAGGGGCAGGGGAGCAGCTGTGATCCAGGCTCCTCATAGGAGGAGTTGCAGGGGAAACCCTGAAAATGCAGTCACGGAGCCTTGGGTCAGGAGTTAGAAGGGCACCTCAGGCAGCCAGAAGCCATCTCTTAGCAATGCTAGAGGGGTCAGGGCTAGACTCCAGAAGAGCTAGGGCCCAGACCACCACCTCTGGCCACATGGACTGTGCATGCAGCTCAGGACACCGGGGGCACCATGCACAAGCAGTGAACCTTGGCCCCTAGAGTCAGACCACGAGGACCCTGCTGGGGGGCCTGAGGTCTCAATAGCTAAGAATAACCAAACGTGTGCACCCGGATAGCTGTCTCTCTCTCCCTGGCTCTATGAGTGAACCTCGTCCCTGGGGCATCACTCTTCTAAATCTGGGGCACATGCATGTGACAGGCTTGTTTGGGGTGACATGCCCACCCACCATACCATCAGGAGGGCTGGCCTGGGACGCACATTTGTAAGACCTGCCAACCTCTTCCCCCTCCCTCACAGCCAATCAGTCTTCTCCTGGAAATTGTATAGGGAGACTGACAAACTAGCTGTGGGGGCCAGGACGCCAGGCAGGGCTGGGGCTGGCTCAGTGCTGAGTAAGGCAGGGCCCTAGGCCAGCGGAGTCAGCAGAGGAGTCCAGGCTGCAGGGAGTGCAAGGAGAATAGGAGGGAGACTGAGAGGCTGCATCTGACAGACAGGCCCGTGAGAGCAGCTTCTGTGGACGCTGGGCCTCCCCATCTCTCTGACCTTGGCTAGCAGAGAGCCCTCTCCCTGAGCGGGCCGACAAGCTGGGCCCTGAGCTAAACCAGAAATCCCATGTACCTCCTGCCCCTCCATGCAGCACAGTGGGTAGCCAACAAATCAGCAGCCACCCAGACTGGGGACAGCACATTCTCCCAGCCTCCTGAGGCCTTTCTTAGATGTCTCCCAGGGGCACCGAGGGCCATGACGGCCTGGACCTACTCGTATGTATTTGTCAACCCCTAGCAGTCCCCTCAGCAAACAGCAAATGCCCCTGGTGGCCTGAGCCACCCCTCCCCTTCCTGACAGTCTTTGCTGTACTCGGTACTAGGCCCAAGCACGGAGATGGCCAGTGGATGGACAGACCCGCTCTAACTGTGTTTTCTTAGATTCTATATGTCTATTTGACATCCACTAATCATAGGACCAAACTATCAGCAAAGTGTTTACCTCTCTCCTGCACACCAGCCTGCCTAGAACCTGCTTTACCCCAGGCCGGCTGATCCAAGCCTCCACCCACCTTCTTACCTAACTCACACACCAAGCTGATATTTCCCCTGCTCTAGGTTATACCAGGGCCGGAATTATTCAACCTAGACAAACCTAAACTGTTTCCCTTGCCCTGTCTTACCTCTCCCACAGAAACCCCAGTGGAGGCTCTGGCCCAGGTTTCCCCAGCACGCCTCCTGCGTCTGTCTGATCAAACCTAGTAATTCCCCACCATGGCCCTACATGGTGTGACGTGTCTCTTCCTCTCAAGACACCTATGTAACAAATTCTTCCGTCAATGGCATCGGCCTCTCCATGTCATCACTCAGTCACACCTTTATAACTTCAATCCCAGGTATCATTTTAAGATGAACGGGCATCTCATGGCCGTTGGGGAACCCGAGAGCCTACAGGAAGTACAATTTGTCCATTGTACCAGGCCCGTAACAGTTTGCTAGTGATGTTAAGCCACTATGTGTCAACACTGTGCCAAGCACCTTGTCTCATTTGCACATTCAACCCTAATAACAGGTTTTGAAATAGGTCCTCTTATTGCACCCATTTTATGGAAAAGGAAACTGAGACTCAGAGAGGTTTAAGCTTGCCCAAAGCCAAATAGCTCCTTTGGGATGCAGAAAAGATGCACAAGGATTGACCTCAGGGATAGAGCCTGGACCCCGAAGGCCTGTCCTCAGAGGTCACTACACCAGAAGGCAGGGAAGAGGGAAGGAAGGAGAGAAGCAACTTACTCACCTAACGCAGGAACTGCACTGCTGAGCCGGCCACTGAGGACGATGTTCACTGTGGGAGACATAAAGAGGGTCCAGTGGCGGGGAGGTGGCTCTTGGGACCCAGGCACCTGCCCTGAGCCAGCAGCAGCCCTTGCAGGAGCACAAGACAACATATCCCGAACTCCAGGCTGGTCCTCTTCCTCTCATAGAGCGAAGACCAGAGCGCTGCCACAGAGAATCCTGCTCCCAGCCTGGGCCTGGGGACCTCGGAGAGTCTCAGAACCCACGTGCACACCCACAGAACAGAACAGCGTGCAAGCCTGGCTGCACCAGACCACTCCTGCCGCTCCCCGCATCTGAGCATTCTAACTCACTTGGGAAGGGATATGTTTCTGCGTCCTGTTGGGCTCGGGGACCTCAGGCCTGGACCACCCATCAGAAAGAAGCCCTGGCTCAAACGGGGATGGAGTGGAGTGGGGAGGCCCTGCCTATCAAGAGGAATCCTGCCACCTTAAAGCGATGCCTCCCTCTGAGGGGACTTGCCAGCCACCTCATCCACTGGCAGCCAGAAAGGGAGGGAGGCAGTTCTGATTACCCCGTTTTACAGGGATGCACAACTAGTCAAGTTCAGGGGCGTCCTCGCTATGCCATGCTGACCTTGAGAAGGGAGGCAAAGAACTCTCCTGCCACCCACCCACTCAAGTACCCACCTCCTGGGGTTCGCCCTTCGCTTTCACTTGTACTTTCCTACAGGGGGACCAGAGGGAGGATAGGGACAAACCCAACTTCCGGGTGCCCTCTCCCCCCAACATCAAGTGTGACAAAGAAGGCAAAAGTCACCTCTGGAAATGTCAGCCCCCACCTGGTGAGGAAGCAGCGTGAGCTGCCCCCTTTCAGGACACCCAGGCTTTGGGCCACATCTGGGCAGGGAGGGCCTTGGGAAGCCAAGGGGCCTGTCCGCCTTGCCCTGTTCCTCTGGGAAGCTAACCCAGCAGCCCAGAGTCTAGAGCACTTGACCACCAACTGATTGGGGAGTGATCATTTTGGGGGTCACAGCCCTTATAGAGATGAGTTCATGCAATGGAAGCAGGAGCCTTCCCCCTAGACCCAGAGGTCCCTGATTCTTGGAGGGACAGGGAAGGGTGCAGCTTAAAACCTTCAGATTTCTTTCTCACTTTGTCATTTCGGTGGCTTCAGCAAACCTACGGGGTTACAGTGTCTTCCTAGGTGACATCACAGGATGTCCCCTACTGACCCCAGGCCCAAATAATGGCCTCCTTCCTTTTTCATGGTAAATAAAGGAGCCATGTGCACAGCCGATTTAACTCCTTCCTTCTCTCTCCCACACAGGGCCCTGGAAAGGTGGACAGAAACTCTCTGGGCAGGGCAAGGGCCCCTCTCGCCCAGGTGCCAGGTCTGGACAGGTCCCTAGCTCCTCCCCACACACCACTCTTGGCGGAACAGGCCGGCCCCGGGGTCTGTGAAGCTACAAAGAGGAGAGAGACAGGAGCATTCTCGAATGTGCCTCCTGCCCGGCATCCTGAGTCCCGACTCCGGCCAGCACCGCCCCCACCCCAACTCCGGGCAGGAAACAGAGACTTCTTCAGGGGGCAGCTGGCCTCGCCTTTGTCCGCAGCTCTGGAGGCCCCGGTCGCCCATCGCCGCCAGGCTAAGCGCGGGCGGGCCAGGCTGGGAGGCAAGCCGCTGCCTGCACACACCGGCCGCCCTCCGCACAGCTCACCCGCGCTCCCAGCCGCTATTCCGAGCCCGGCGGGAGCCAGGGCTCCGCGGCTGGAGTCGCCCACCCGGGCCTAAGACCCCAGCAGGCCGAGAGCTCTCGCACTGCCGGCTCCGGAAGCCTCGGCC